AGGGGTGCCCTGAGGAGGGCGCTGTGGAAGGAGAGGCCAATGTGAAGGATATCAAAGGGCAACGTGTGAGAGGAAGGGCTTTGCTTTCTCTGAATTATGGTAGGTGACTTTTTTTGCCTTGTGCTATAATAATGCCGCAATGTAATAGAAAATTATAAACCTAAACATATAATGAGAAACTCCATAGACCTTAGAAGGTAAGATAGATGAATATCTTCATGACGTTGGATAGGCAAAGATTCTTAAAGATGATCCAAAAAGCATAAGACATAATATTTGAAAAATTGGTTAATATTGGGCCTTTTCAAACGTAATCATTCTGCTCATCCAAGTCACTATTAAGAAACAAGAAATGTAAACCACATGCCATGTGCTCTGTATTTTTAAAAATGTGGTCAGTCAAGAGCAGTCACAAAAGGCTTAAGAAAAAACAACGTTTATTATACAGTCAAACCCTAGAGACAGGAGGCGTGATCTACCATGCAGGGCCACGTGAGGATGACACCAGAGTGGTCAGGCAGAAGACAGGACAAGGGGGAAGATTTCAACCACTGCCTTTATTGGCATTTCTGCAGGAAACATTGAATAAAGGGGTGTATATGAACTAGTTGGAGTTCTTGTAATAGATAAATGTTTACCATGTAAAGAAGGAAATAGTGTAGACTGAAAGGCACAGGAGAATTATAAAGGTGAGGATTTCTCTGATATTTGGAACCCAAGTTATATTACTTTCAATCATTTCAAGTCTCTCTGGCCTCTCTTCTCCCTTGAAATACAAAGAACCCTTGATTTCAGCCTGTGAGGTGTGTGCAGAGAATCAGCTGACCCAAACCAGGACTGCTGACCCATGGAAACTGTGAGACAATAGATGTGTTGTTTTAAGCCATTAAATTTGTGTTAATTTGTTGCAGCAACTAGAAAACTAAAATACTTTTGGTATGAGATAAAAATCATTCGTTATCAGCTCTGGCTCTTGCTAGATTGGTAATGTATCATGTAGTCCAGTGGTACTGTAACTCTTTGGTGTCAGGACCTCTTTGAATTCTCCCGAACATATTTTATTTATGTGGTTATATTTGTTGATGTGTGTCATATTAGGAATTAAAACTGAGATTTTATTAAATATTTACTTTTAATTCATTTAGAAATATTTCCATTATACGTTAACAGAAATGATGTATTTTTATGAAAAATTACTCTTTTACAAACAAAAAAAAATGAAAAGAAAAGTTAAGTTTCACCCGTTTGAAACATTTTTAAATGTTTGCTTAGAAGACAGCTAGATTTTATACCATCTTCTGCATTCTGTGTGTTGCAATATCACATGTCATATCACATGTCATGATGCTTCTGGGAAACTCCACTGAGAGAGTGAGAATGAGAAAGGCAAAAGGTGTCTAAATATTATTGTGAAAGTAGTTTGAGCCCATGGGCCCTTTGAAAGGTTCTCGGAGATTCCCAGGGGTCCCTGGATCACACTTAAGTAATTGATGTTTTTATCTTTTTAAAATTTATATTTATATAATTATATATAACATACATATTTTTCTATATAATTATATATTAACATACATAATTATGTTAACATATAAAATATATGTAAATAATTTATATATTATATATTGTTTTGAATCTATCCTAAAATTTCAGTCTCCACATCTGTAAAATGAAGACAGTGATGGAATTAAACTGTGTGGTCAATATAAAGCATTTGGCGTATTTTCTGAAACATAAGGGCTCAGTAATGGTTGCCAGTGGATATTAGACTCCTTCCTCGTTTGAATCTCTGAACCCTTTCTGCAGACAGAGATCCATCTTGGCTTGGGGGATCTGTTCTCTCTCAGGGTTGCCTTCACAGGCCCTACTGGAACCCACCTCTCAACCATCTAAACTTTTCAGCTTATCATATACTTTCATGAGGCTTGTAGAAGAACATGAATTCATAAAATGAATCATTGAAGAGTCTGGCTATTGTAATTTGTTGTATCTGTCTCAGGTTTATAACCCTTGAGATACTTCAAAATATGTGCAGAAACAGGATGATGCCAGTATCTGCTCTGCCCGTTCCCTAGAATTTTTCCTCCAAGGAGAATTAGACATAATCTTAGCTCTCCTCCAGAGAGAGAACTCAGGGTTTTCCTTCCACCCCTTAGAGAGAAAATAAAAAAGTGTTACGTCTCATGATCCTTCTGGGAATCTGAATTCTCAGTAGAGACTCAAGGATTATTTCTGTTTATCTGACTCTAAAATAAAGCATGCTTCTGGGGTTCTTTGAAGAAACTTGAGCAAGTCCAATGAGCAACTCCTCCTGTATCTGGGATTCAATCCTCTGAAAGCTGTGAAGGGGCAAGATTCTACACCCATTTCAGAGGTACATTTCTTACCCCCTTTTTTTTTTCTTGGTCAAAGAAGATTCTTGTGAGAAAATTGACAGCCAATGTCTCCTGGTGCAGAAGAAATTGATTTATGCTGGGAGGTGGTTTTCAGTACATGTGGGTGAGATAGGACAGGATAGTAGCAGGTGTCACCATGTCTATGTGGACAAGAATGACATCCCTGGACGATCTTACCTCCGCGCTTATATTGTGTGTTGTAGGTAGAATGGTAAACGTCTCCCTCCCCAGCTTTAGAAATTTCTGCCTACTGTGTGGTGGGCAGGGGACCCTGAACTCCCTCCACCTCTCTCTCATGACCATCTCCCAGGATAACTGAGTGGTGATGCTCAGAGCTAGCACAACTGTCTCAGTGAGAAGGGGCTCAGGGAATAAAAAGCTCTACATCCAGGAACTGTCTCTGAATAAGGCTCTGAAATAGCTGAATTAATAAAGTGACTTTATACGTTAGCTAGCCTAAATGGGAATGTTGGTGTCCAGGGAAACTTTTCTCAGTGGAAAACAAAATTCTAGGAACAGCTACAGTACGTATTTTCTTTGCTGACATAATATAAGCGGTAAGTTTGCCATACAGTTACTTCTTTTTGGAACCCTCTCAGGTTATTACCCTATCATGGTGCTTATTAGACTTGAAGTCACATTGTAGATACCTTTCCTATCACGTAATAGGATAGAGTGAGTGCCAGCATTCCTGACAAGAGGTGGAGAAGTAAATACACTCCATACATCAAGAAACATTTGAGCTGCAGGACTGCCCAGGTGGAGAGAATTGCTCGTGCTGACTGTGCAGACCTTTTGCTGTCAGAGCTGTTACTGTTTTATTTACTCTATGGGGAAGATGAAGTTTTGGCATCAATTTTGTGACATTTTTTCTTTATTCCAGCACTGTGTCTGTTTAAGAGTTTTAATCAATCTTCAATTTTATTTTTTACGTTGTTTGTTTTTTAACAGCAATATGGTAGTAATCGTAATGAAAAGGAAGATTTAAAGATTTATTAATTCAGACATAAGAATAACTAGGCTTTAAAGTTAATAGATACATGTTCCCACTGAATAGTAATAGACAGAATTACCTTCATCAATATTATTTTCCTTTATGTTTAGAGGTTTTTTTTGTGTTTTAAACATTGCTTTTTGATGTAACTGTGTCTAAGTAGAATTTTGCAGTACAGAAGTTGCTATCTCACACTATATGTAATATAGGAAAATTCTTTAATAATAGCAAAAATCAATGTCACAAACAATGCACATTTATAGAACCTTCCCAAATACAATCATATTTATGGAAGTGATAGAATCTATGATTCTGTCTCTCTTTCATTTTCCAGTGATCAAATCCTGTGAACTTTTCTAGCAAAACAGAAACCATGCTTTGGTCAATAGAAACTGGCAAATAGAAAAATGCTTAGTATATGCATTTTTTGAACTAAAAATGACAGTCATCCATTTAACAAACATTTCCTGAGTGCCCATTTCACCTAGAATTGTGCTAATTGTTATAAGATATAAAGATGTACAAGACATATTATCCACCCATAACACATGTTATTTGGTGAAATGGAATCTCAGTTCGAATAAATGATATTCGATATAAACCTCTTTTTATCTTTGATTTTACCTTAAGGATTATCGATATCTTCACAGTGAGAATACAACTCTTAACTTTTATATCTGACCAAGCCTGTACATTGAATGGGTGCTTGAAGAGCCTTGCCCTATGAATCTACACTAGTCCCAAGAATAGAGAGGATCCCTTTTATAGGCTGTCCAACAGCTAGCCTTGTAATGGGGCCCAGGGAAGAGGAAACAGGCTGCCACCTTTCTCTTTATGGTAACTTGTTGTAAACGGCAATAAAATGGTTCAAGTGAGGAGGGCCATGACCCCACCCCAGCACCCCTTCACGATTATGCAGTGGGGGTGATGATAAGCACAGTTTTCAACCAAACTAACCTTTTTGCATGACCCCCATGCATTCTCCAACTCAATACATCCCAACCTGAGAACTTACATTTACTTAAGTCTGATATTCTGCAACAAGATATACAATAATTCTCAGCATTGTTAAAATTACTGAATTCATCCTGTACTCATAAAATTTTTTTTAAAAAGAATGAACTAAAATTATATCCATCCTTTTAAGAGATTTAACTTATAATTATCTGGGAGAGAATATGTTATCTGCTCTATTGGCCTTTAGGACATGTGTGACAAAATGGCATTATATTTATGCAATATTTTCTTTTAACAGTGATTGATTGATTGATTGATTATCAAAGTATAGTTGATTTACAGTGTTGTGTTAGTTTCTGGTGTCCAGCATGGTGATTCAGTTATATATACATATTCTTTTTATATTCTTTTTCATTATAGGTTATTACAAGATACTGAATATAGTTCCCTGTGCTACACAGTTACACAATATTTTAAAGTGATATGGTATTAATTATGCTAAAATATTGTTAACTTGTAATTGTTCAACTTGCACAGGTAAAAATCTTCGCTCCCTTTAATATATATTAAAAAGTGAAATAATTACAGGTACCACCTCCTAGGAGAAATAGGAGTTCCTCTCAAGCAAGAAACTGGACTTAGGAAGAAAACACTAGATTTAGATACCACCTGAAAAACCTGTAGCTCTTGTTGTTAATAATACAAGATGTAAAGATTTCCAGGAAGGAAGTCTGAATAGTGGTGTTAGGGTGGTTTCTTTCACATGGAACCACAAATGTCACAGAAAACTGTGTCAGCTCCCTCAAATTAAAGGGTAGATGGCTCAGGTAGCACTTAGAAGAAGAGAATAAAACTAAGAGAGAATTTCAGCCTGGCAACCAAACAGCTACACACATTTTAAGTCTGGTTGCACTTAAGCTTTGTGGAGTCTTAACTTCCATTTAATGTTTTTCTTCTTTCTCAGTATTTAATATCAAGCTGAGACAAGAATGAACCAAAGGAAGCTGATGTTAAGCATATTTTCACCAAGGTATTTGAAGAGGATCCGTGGACCTTTGGGAGCCAGCATGATGGAACCAGCCGTAAGCGTGGGACAACCACGTAAGAAGGGTGGATTTATGATTGCAGAGTCGTGACTGTCAACTCAGATGCCTTTTCCCACTGGGTGGTTTCTTACAGACGTGTCTTCAGACATCAGGGGCTTTTGCTTGTTTGATTTTTAGATGACTCTAGGTGAACGTATATGGGAGTTCTTTGCATAATTCTTGAAACTTTTTTGTAAGTTTAAATTTATTTCGTATTAAAAGTTAAAAAAAAGGTAATCAATTTTGAGGCGTAGGGGAAGCCACCAAGTAGGACAAGGATACAACCTTTCTCTGAGCTCATGTTGAGATAATTACAATTTTCATTGGTTCTCCAGCTCTGACCTTTCTACCACACTTCAGTCCTTGACAAACGGTCATTAAGGAATGGGAAGCAACCAGTCATGGGTCACAGAATTCACATTGGTAGGATTCCAGCTCAGTGCACAGATGGAAATGTTTCTCTTCTGCATCTTCTCCCTGTTCTATATC